GAAATGCATTCAAAAAATTTCGTACGGATATGTTTGGTATTTCTTGAGTTATCGTGCTCACAGACAAACACACACACATACACACACACACACACACACACACACACACACATACACACACACACACATACAAACCCAGATGATTACATAACCTCCTGGCGGAGGTAAACATAACCTCCTGGCGGAGGTAATTAATTTTTGCGATAATGCGTGGATAATTCATTCATAAGTCCGATCCGATCCGACTACGAAACACCTTTGTCAATCCGATCCGAAATGTATATTTTTGTTCCGAAATCCGAACGAATCGGATTCTGGTCGGATTTGCACACCTTTAATAGACTGTCACATTTATCATTTTTGTTCGAATGTTTGACATATAAATATAATCCCAGTTTTTTTTAAATTACTTAGAGAAAACAGCATCCGAGAAAATGCAAACCAGCAGCGCGTCCGTGGTGCAGTACATTTGGATTGCCACAAAAACTTTCACGATTGATCAAGAGCATTTGAAATTAAGTGCAAGCGCAACAAATATGGCAAGCACAACCGTTAAAGATGCGGATACCGCTCGTGTTTTTATGCAACGCTACGGAAGCCATTTTCCAGCTGGCGTCCACACACTTGGTGGTGTTCTCTTCCGTATCGTAGATGCAGAGAGCGAAAGCAAGAAAACAACAACCGTTTTGGCCGCTAAAGCTGCGAACCAACTTCAAGGTCAAATATCTTTTGGAGTCCTTGCGGGATTGGGTGGAATCGGTGTAAGTATCAGTGGCGAAAACAATAACAGCAGCGGTACAGTAGAGGCGCATGACGAAAAGACCGATGACGTTTTTTACACCTTCTCCTCTCAAGCTATGGGTCCTGCTACGACAAACCCAGTCACCTTTAACAAAATGTTGGCGAATAACTCAACTTGGGCTATAATTGATCGCGGTAGCCCAACTGCATACATACCAATTTGGGAGATGATACGAAATACTGACCCCGTCTTTGAAGAAGTAGCAAAACATCTGGAAAACACCTGGCGCAAAGATGAGGAAGAGAGAATGCATGTAAGTGTAAAACATTATGTTACGTCATTATCACTCAACAAAATAGCTTGATTTATATTAAAACCAATGGCGTTCATAATTATGTGCCATGTTTAAAACATGAGGAGGAGTATTTTATTAGATATAAAACTCGAGGCCCAGCCCAACGTTCTATGTCTGATAAAACACGACAACGAGTGTTTTAACGAAGCTTAATATACGACCAGAAAAGAATACTAATTAGGATAAACAATTGTAAAAGAATACTAATTAGGATGAACAATTATATAAAGCCACATGCATGCATGTGTTTTATCAGATATAAAGTCACCGCACCTGACATATTAGGCCTGACATGAAGGTTTATAAATTATTAATAAGCATTTTAAGTACTGTTTAATAAACGAGCAGGAGAGTTTTATTAGGTTTAAAGACACGAGCGCGCAGCGCGAGTGGCTTTAGACCTAATAAAACACGACCTGCGAGTTTATTAAAAGGCTTCAAACACGACTACAAATTCAATAGATATACCGCCTTATTAGTATTCTTTATATAAAAAATACTAATGAGGACACGACAACAATAGATAGTGCCTGATTAGTATTCTTTAAATAAGGAATACTAATTAGGAGTGTTTTATCAGGTTTAAAGCCACTGCACGTGACATATTATGGTTGACATTATTTGCCAATAAGCTTATGAATTATTAATGAGTGTTTGAAGTACTATTTAATATATGTATATTACCGAGTGAGCAATAACACAATATGATATAAAATTTTCTGTGCTGAATTAATATAAACGATTGTGTTTACGACAATCACTGCTGCAAACAGGGGTCTGGAAATTATCAAATATCTCAATCGAGAAACGTTTTTTCATGATGTATTATCCTGGGGGCTATAATGAATTTGTATTAATTGTTTGATATTTATATTTGGCTTCGTTCTCGCTTAACTTTACTTATTCTGGTAGCATTAGCGGCATGTAGTAAAACACTGACTACCAGAACACCGGAACACCACCGGAACACCACCATTTTGTTTGGGGTTAGGTTTTGGGGTTAGGGGTTAGGGTTGGGGTTAGGGTTAGGTGTGTATATATATATATATAAATATATATATATATATATATATATATATATATATATATATATATATATATATATAATATATATATATATATATTAATCATCACGATATGGCATTTATAATTTTATATATGTTAATCACCGTAGGTAAGTATATTTTAGTGAACAGGAAAAGTTGAGACTGAGTCGGATAAATGTATACACATATATTACAATTCGTATTGTGTCAAGCTATCGAAGTATAGAGTTCCGTGATGGTGTTTACTTATACTACCTTATCGACATACAGCCATATTTGCTACAGAAAGAAGAAAGTTTGGCATAAAACTCAATTTTTAAGGCGGAATGCCTTGGTTATTAAATTTGATCGATACAGTCAATCCTGGACAAAACAATTTGCGACACTTTATTAAACTATTCCTTTATGTTTTATTACCAATTTGAGGGGAATAATTTACTGGTTTGCCCACCAACTGGTTTGTCCAGGATTGTAGCTCACATGATGTACAATCCGAGTAAATTAGCTAATTGTTAAAATTATTTTTCCAACTGAAGAATTAAAAAAAACCCTATATCTTTCACTTTTATAGCGTGATGCGGATACGATTATCGAAGAACCAACAAATAAAGTAGGTACATCAGAATTTTTTCCAAGGAATATAAAACACCGTATACCTATTTTGTTATTTGTTAGCGTAAATTTATATGCGTACTCGTATTCAAGGCACGCGAGAAATTACCTGGCACACCAAACGTGTTTTCCAGGCCAATTATAAGGAGGCGTCACGTGTCGAATCACCATATCGTTCATTGTTCCATTTAAATCCTCTGTTTGCGTACACAAGACAGTGTAATATATGACGTTCTTAATCACGTGACATGTTTAGTTTACATTGGTAGCTTTATACAGTTATTAAATGTTTCGACGGCCACTTTTCTGCAACCTCATTCTCAGGGTATTACGTTCGCTCATCCCCTGCTGCGGAAATATCCTGGTGCCAGCTAGTCACGTGGCTCCTAAGATATTAAATTACCAAGGGAGGGATGGACAAATCTCCAATTACAATGCTTCCACTTTTCAATAGTAAAATTCGTTGACAAGGCTCGGACGATATGGTTTGAATTACAAAAATGTAATTTGGGGCACTTTATATCGCATTTTATCATTGTATTAAATAGGCCTACTTCGGTGTTAAATTGCCAATTTTGCGCGCGTTTGTGTTATCTATTTGTCATTCACATGCTGCCAGGCTATAGAAACAAAATTGATAATTTCAAATTAAACGAACAGAGAGACTGGCGAACGGAGATGCTCAATTTTCGCTCCATTTCTTGCTTGTTTGAAATTCGTTGTTCTGAATAGCGCATGTCATAACAACATACCGTACTGAAGCCGAAGTAAGTTATTTGTTTGAAAAGCATTTATTTATTTATTTAATTTCGCCAGTTTAAATTACAAGATTGATAACATTGTTCAAACTTCGACAAGAGTCACAATTTAAACACACAAATCCCCACGTCCTTGCGTCCTGCATCAAAACAGCTTTGATGTTTTGCAGCAGGGCTTTGGAATAATCCTCGAGCCAACGACAGAGTGTCCACTACTTTAACACCATCCTTGGTTTTCCCTGGGTCCGAAATCACCATGTCTAGGACTGTTAGCCTAAACAAGGAACAATAAAAATCCAGCATTACATGTGAAAATTTTTAACGGCGTTGTTACGCTTGATACACTGTAAATTTCAAGGAGTTGAATCAACTCAAAAATTTTTATTCTGTAACCAAAAACGGTCTAAAACGATTACAGAATAACACTTTTGGAGTTCATTAGACCCCTTGAAGTTTACAGTGTAGTTGCATATTATAGAGTCATTAAAAAGTGATTAACCTGCGTACGCCGTGTGGATATATACAATTTTTTTATTTTACCCAGCGAACTTGATCGAGACAGGAAAAAAAATACTAAAGAACAGAGAGTTGTTACAGATAATATGCAAGATATATCGAAATTTTGTCGTTTGTGGCTCTCTAAAATGCATATCGCCAAAGTCATTAACAGTTGTTAATGGATTACAAGCAAACTTTTAGTCTCTTAAGTGCTTATTATGGACAGATGTGGATTATTTATTACCTTAAAACCGGGCGCGTGGCTTTGCAGGTAAAGTTCGCACCAGTTTCACTTTAAACATACATTTATTTTTTCAAAATGTTTTACAAAGTTATGCTTCTAATATATATCTTCACATTTTTGAGACGTTTCACTATCCGATTCGTCATCGTGGTTGCCTTCATCATCCAAACTATTGAAATCCTAAGATACTGTGTGATATCCTAGGATACTGCATGATATGCTAAGATATTGTATGGTATCCAAAAATATTGTATAATATTCTAATATACTCTATGATATCCTAAGATATTGTATGATATCTCAAGATATTGTATCATACTGCATTATATATTAAGATATAGGTATCTCTCTCCTCCGCAGAGGCTCCAACCTCGTTCCCAGGGCTTTCTTATGAGGACAAGGCGAGGCACGAAAAGCCCTGGTCTGGGCCGGTCACGTGACTACCCAAAAACTGGCAGTATTTAACAGCATCTCGTCAAGGAGTGGCAAGATGTTCTTTAATGGAATATACAAGTCTTCGAAACAGATCAACTGCCAAAAGACTTCTCATCGATATTATATATTTATGTGTATAGCGAAGTATGGCACGAATCAGCTGAAACCCCATGTGTGTTTTCTTAGATATACCGATATTTCTGGTGATTTTCAACCGCAGGCAAAGCTGCATCCAAGCTGCATCTAGGCGTCTCCATGCAAGTTGTGATTCACACGAAATTTGATTTCTCTCGTCTTGAACAGTATGGCCTATTGCTATTAATACTTAGTCTAAATATGCTCTTTATATAGATTTGACTTAGTTCAATATAAATAAACACGAATTAAAACCTCGCGTAACCTTTTTACGCTGTACAGGAATAATGCCGTTCAGGAGCAATGCTTGCCTACCAATTTTTTGTTTTATTTTAGTCGTACAGTCGCAATTTTCAAGTATTCGGAGTATTCTGAAACTGTAAAACTCGGTGGCGTGACGAATCTTGTTGAGACTACACTACATCGGCCTAGGCGTAGAGCTATTATAAAGTATTAAACGCGGCCTAAATTAATTTAGTAGTTTCATTTAATTGTTTATCTCGCTTTTATTTGTCAGTACAGAATATTGTAACTTAAAATATTACTACAATGCAATACAGACATCTGCACTACATTATAAATACTGTACAAGGAAAACTACAGCTTAAATAATAGTGGACTTTCTTGTTTTGTCAGGAAACATCATAGCTCACGTCGCCACAGCTTTTGAGTTTTGTCACCGGCCGAGGCGAAAGTAAATCATGCAGTCGAAAAAACGTCTTACTTCGAAAGATTATTTTGCAAAACATTCTCGTACACACAAGAATAATAAAAATACAAATGTTGAATTGTTAATATTGTCAGCTGTCAAGTTAAGTTATTTTTAGACAATATGGTGTTAGCCAATCAGAATGTAAAATTGACCGACACAAACCAGGGCTTTCTCCATCACTCCTTACGCGCTCACTTTTCCCTCACTAGAAACTTCATGTAAGCCTCGTATGCTAAGATAATATAGTAAGTATGCTAAGATAATATATTCAATGATCCAATTTATGATTCAATTATTCAATCTATGATTCAATGATTCAATCTTAGGATTTAACGATTCAATCTATGATTCAATGATTTAATCTTAGGATTCAATGATTCAATCAATGATTCAATCATTCATTCTTAGGATTTAATAATTCAATCTATGATTCAATGATTCAATCTTATTCTTAGGATTCAATGTTTCAATCTATGATTCAATGATTCAATCTATGATTCAATGATTCAATCTTAGGATTCAATGTTTCAATCTATGATTCAGTGATTCAATCTATGATTCAATGATTCAATCATATCTTAGGATTCAATGACTCGATCTATGATTCAATGATTCAATCTTATGATTCAATGATTTAATCTTATGATTCAATGATTCAATCGCTATGAATCAATGAATCAATCTTAGAATTCAATGATTCAATCTTAGGATTCAATAATTCAATCTATGATTCAATGATTCAATCTTAAGATTCAATTATTCAATGTTATGATACAATGATTCAATCTATGATTCAATCATATGATTCAATCACACAGTATCTTAGGATATCAATATCTCAGATGATGAAAGCAGCCACGATGACGAATCGGATAGTGAAACGTCTCAAAAAAGTTAAGATATATTTTAGAAGCATAACTTTGTAAAATATTATGAAGAAATAAATATATTTTAAAATGAAATATTTTGCGAACTTTTGCCTGCAAAGGCACGCGCCCGATTTTAAAGTAATAAATAATCCCTATCTATCCATAATAAGTACTTAAGAGATTAAAATTTTGCTTGTAACCATTAATGACTGTTAATGACTTTGGCGATATACGTTTTAGAGAGCCACAAACGACAAAATTTCGATATATCTTGCATGAAATCTGTAATAACTCACCGTTCTTTAGTATTTTTTACCTGTCTCAACAGAGGCGCCGGAATATCTATAATTGGGGGAGGCAGATTATAAAAGAAATTAATTGGGCGGAACACGATTATATGAATATTTGCCCCCCCCCCAATTATCGATATTCCGGCGCCTCTGTGTCTCAAACTCGCTGGGTGAAACAAAAAAATTGTATATATCGAAACGGGGTGGGTGGGCTAATCACTTTTTAATAACTCTGTAATATGCAAATGTCGACCATAACAACGGCGTTGACAACGATTTTAACTTGGGCTTAGCAACTCTTAATTCTGTTTAAAAATTTTCATATGTATGTCTGGATTTTTATACTATTCCTTTTTTATTAGTCCTAAACATGATGAATAAATCCCCAGGAAAAACCAAGGATGGTGTTAAAGTAGAGGACACTCTAAGATAATCTAATAAAACCTTGTAATACGATGAATTCAAATACACCTTTCATAGTCTAGCTATTTCTGTTGTCGTTTATGATTTGGGGGAATTTTGAATAAACTGTGATCTTCTCTGCAGAATTCCCCCCCCCCCATCCCACCCCCGGAATCCATGTAAACTCCTATAAGTCAGGAATTAATTTTCGTAGTACACAGTTCTCACTGTACATGCGTACAACATCTACGTCCCACAAGCATTACAACAACTTTAGTAGAATATATATCGAGAACGTGCTAAAGTTCTCTCAGGTTTGTTAGAAAGAATATATGTGGGGATAAATATTAGCACAATAACAGATAAATATTATTAGATAAATATTACAGATAAATATTATTAGTACTAGAAAATACATGCATGTAGAAACCCTCGCCTTTTTGACAAGCCATTGTATTTTCCGAACATAAAGTATCTAAGGCAGTTGTCGTGGTAACACGATAATTTTTTAAGAATATTCTTACAAATGAAAAATCGCCTAAATATATCACTTTTAATTACAAAATTTTCAGTTTCCCAACATATATATGTTAGGTATGTTATTATGCGGAATATAAGCTTCGATTTAAGGTAAAATTCAACCACAAATGAAATATATTTGCAAGAAATTGATCAATTATCAAATCAAGAAATGTTTGCTATTTCGCTGTCGTCATGCAGTCGTTATAATGCAGCTTATAAATTGGACCAATCAGTGTTGGCTATTCATGACAGTCCGTTATATGAGATCAGTGAGGATGACCATCCATCGAAACTTCGTTAATGAGCCACACCCGCAATCATTGATGAACTGCAGACTTCGCTAATGCTTTCGTTTGCCCGGGTGTATATAGCCGGGGAGAATTAGTGCCCTCGCACGGCGCTTCGCGCCGTCGGCTCGGGGATTAATCTGTAAAAAATTTCTGATAATGTTATGTCTCAATCAATTCCATGGTTGCCCATCCCCCCCGGGCCTTTGTCGGGCATTCTCAACTGCACCTGTTCCCAGGGTGGGGCATTTGCTTTCTGCAGGTTAGCCCCGGGGTGAGGAATTTGCTGGAGGCTAAAAAGTCGAATATTTGTCGCTTGTTTCGCCATTTAACCGCATTTTAGTACATACGTTATATGTGCGTGCGTATTGCGAATTAATCTTGGCGGACATACACACTTTAGACTTTTTTTTTGTCCATACTGTTGATACATTGACTTACTTCCGCAGTTAGATATTGTTATATAAAGTTTTGAGACTTCAATTCAATATTTTAATTAAAAACGTTTTGAAACGGAATGCCTACAGAATCGATTTTAAATACAGATATACTGATACGAGATAGAGCTTGCATTCGATTTTTTGGATCAGAAATCCTCAGAAAACTTATATTTTGTCCCCCAAGGGTGGGGCATTTGCGTCAATGTAATTCCCCAAGGGTGGGGATTTTGTTGCATTATTTGGACCCCATAGTGGGGCATTTGCAACGATTTTTCGCCAAAATGACAAATGCCCGAAAAACGCGGGGGGGGGGGATGGGCACCCATGGAATTGATTGAGACATTAGACTGCTAATAATCATTGCTCCACACTTTTTTTGCAAGCGTGTAATTGATATGAAATTATATTGTGATGACTTCATGGGTGGTGCAAAGTGCACTACCCGAGCTAGAACCCCCCTTCCTTAGTTCCTTATACTACTCTGGGGTTGTTATAACTCATTATAAAACAATAAAATATAGAAATGGGATCCATTGCAGCTTAATGGATAATTAACAGCACATATTGCAAAATTATTTGGATAACTTATTATTTTTTTAACAGCTTTATTAGGAACCAAATATATTACATTAATAAGGTACAAATACAGCAAACATGCAGTTCCTAAACGAGAAAATAGCGAACGGGCCATAATTACCCATGCGAGGCTACCTCCCGATTTGACTTCTGTCGACATTTACAAATTTACATAAAATTAAAAATTTAAAATCGTTGAAAGCACCTTTACACGCATTCACGCAAAAGTGATAGGACCTATGTTAAAATAATTATTTGTAAGCCGGATAAAACGTCATTTGGTCGCATCAATCATAAAAGAGGAACCCCGACCGGTCGTACCGCGTAAACGTGCTTTAACTCCTGTGACAAGCACAATCTCTAATAACTGACCAAGTACATATCAAATTTGCATAAAAAACATTCAATAAAAGTTCATTATAATGATTGATTAAGAACGTTTTGAAGGTGGTGACACTAGTAAAGCTGCTACATGTGCCAACTTTGCATATAGAGTTCCATATCTTTACAATTCGTTTAAAAAATGAGGCCTGTAATGTAGTTGTTTTACAATATGGTATTTTTAAAACAACGGTGGAATTACTACTGAAACGTGTTCGCCCATGAGTGACAAAGAAGACAAAGTCTTCCACATTTAAGTCGTAAAATCCATGGAGAGCTTTATAGAAGAACATCAAGTCTCTTATTTCTCGATCATAACATAAAGGTAAGATAATATTTAGAACAGATAACCTGTCTCAATACGGAACATCTCCCACCTTAACTTTCAGGATCCATCTAGTGGCACGCCTTTGTATTTGCCCTAATTTGATTTTCAGGTTACTTTGGTGAGGAGACCAGACTTCACTTGCGTAGCATACTTGTAATTTGACAAGGGAAAAATACAGAGTTCTCCTGACATGCACTTGAGTCAAGAGAGGGCAGGTTCTTTTCAGTAGCCCGAGCATTCTATTAGCTTTCGCAGATGTTCTTTGGATGTGGGAATCCCATGATAGGCTACTGGTCATTAGTACACCGAGATCTTTTTCTTCTTGTACTTTATTGATAGGAAACAGGTCAAGATGATGGATAAAGCGGATAGGTTGTTTCTTCCTAGCAACCGTCATTGTCTTGCATTTCGACTCGTTAAAAGAAATGTTGTTGTTGCTACTCCAAGTCGACAAATTAGATATAGCTTGTTGTAAGTTACAAGAATCACCTTCGGAAGTCATTTCTCTGAATGATTTGGTGTCGTCCGCATATAGCGCAACTTTCGTAGTCTGTGGCGCAGCATTCGGAAGATCGTTTATGAAAATAACAAACAGCAAAGGTCCCAGTATGCTGCCCTGAGGCATACCAGAAGTCACATGTGTCCAGCCAGAGCATACCCCTTCCATGACAACCCTTTGAATCCGATTATTAAGATAGTCTCGAAACCAATTGAGACCTATCCCTTTAACCCCCAAAAATCTAAGCTTTTCTATTATCAAATAATGGTCGACGAAATCGAAGGCTTTGGCGAAATATAAATACAGTATATCTGTTTGGATATTTTTGTCTAGGTTTTGTCCGATTAAATGAAGCACTTGTAAGAGTTGAGTTACGCACGAACGATTCCTTACAAAACCATGTTGTTGTGGATATTATTGGAAGAAGAGATATGGGTCTATAATTTTCAGCTGGTTCTCTTAATTCTTTTTTATGTATCGGAGTGATGTCAGCTGTTTTCCACTCTGATGGAAGACGTCCTATATGTAACGAATAGTTAAACAAACCACACAAACTGGGTGCTATCTGGAAACTGCACTCTTTAAGTAAACGCGCTGGTATCCCATCAGGACCACATGCTTTAGATCTATCCAAAGAATTCAGATAAGCAAGGACCTCGTCCGTAGTCAATTGGAATTCAGAAAGTTCTGAGCAAAACTCCTGATAATTCAGAAAATTCGCCTAATCTGTGTTCGCAGTTGGTTTGGAAAACACAGAGGGAAAATAAGCATTGAGTAGTTCTGCTTTTTCAATTGGATTAGTTGCTGTAACATCGTTGTAAATGATCGCAGAAATATGGTTTGTTCTTTAATGTAACATAGCCTTATGATAACTCCAGAAAGTTTTGAGAATAGAATTTAAGGATTTCCTGATCTTGGTTAGGTATCCACGATATTTTGTCTTAATTTGACATTTAACAGCTTGACTAATATCCCGAAGTTTTTGTTTGAGGGCATCAGATTTATTTTTTCTGAATCTTTTTAAGGCCGAGTATTTCTTTTTAATTAGATGGCGGACTTCTTGATCTATCCAAGGTGGAGTGTTAATATCTTTGATAAATTTGGTAGGAACATGTTCACTCACTGCAGTTATAAATAATGTTTTCCAGCAAGACCAACGATCATCAATGTTATCATCATAGGAGGAAATATTTTCAAACGGGATGCGGGACAAGGAGTGGCGCAAGCTTTCGAAATCTGCCTGGTAATAATTGAAGACTTGGCGTTTAATAGGCTTAGAGCGTTCAAACTTAAGTCTGATTATAAAATTTATGAGATAATGATCTGATGGAAAACCGCATTCGTCAGCTGGTGTAGTGGTTATTTTTTCAATAGTCTCAGGACAATTACATAGCAGTAAATCTAGTTTATTACCAGCTTCGTGTGTCTTGCCTTCTATGAATTGTTGTAAAAAATTGTCTCCAACCAATTCACAAAGCACATTACCACTTGCGTTTCCCCCGATATTAACAGGCGCAGCTTGATCATTCGACCAGTCCTGCATGGGCAAATTGAAATCACCAATTACAACAACACAACAGTCAGATTCTTGAATACTTTGCAACGATAAGTTAAGGTGCTGAAGAACTTCAGGCAAAGAATCGGGAGAACGGTAAAACGTGTAAAGTAAACATGATCGACTGTCCGGTCTAATAAGTTCAACTACAAAAAGTTCAACACTTTTCCTTTCAAGATCTAAACGTCGAGTTGATTTAATATCAGCCTTTATTGCAACTAAGATGCCACCTCCAACACGATCAATTCTATCTCGGCGAAATATGTTATAACCAGATAATATTTCGCTGTTCAATATACAGCCGTTTTTTTTTTAACAACAAGGTTATCCATTTAATAAATAAAAATCAACTGGCGTCCGAAACAGTTAATAAGTTAAAGGATTATTCTATGATATGTGCTTGCACTCCAGAGATACGAGTGAATGGATTTTATTATTCCGTAAAAATTGGCGAACAAAAGTCATATTTCCAACTATCAGGGACGCCGGAACGATGTGAAGGCAAGGGGGACAGATTTTCGTGAAAGGGCACTTTTGAATTGATATATACTAAGAGATGTTTGCAAAACATCGGGAGTTGAACTTCGCCTAATCATGTTTCCTATTGACTGGATAATAAGGGTGTGAGGGGGTTCTCTGCCGGGCGATTGTGATATTCTTGAAGCTCGATGACTGCATTTCTTGCGTTTTCTGAAGCAAACTTGTAAAAGAATCGCACTAACATTTCTGACAATTCGCTATTTCGCCACGGCAATCCTTTAAATTGAAAGGCACCTTTGGCCCCCTTGCCCCTCCTGGTAAAGAGCACCTGAGGCGGCTGCCCTCCTGCCCCCACCCAGTTCCGGCGTGCCTGCCAACTATACGTATTTCTAGCGAGTAAAAATACCAATTTAAATTGATTATATCAGTAACAATATTAGCCTATTGTGTTACAAGAAAATATGGAGATAGCGTAGCCAGGTTTAGACATATTTTTAAAAATAAACGTTCTTTGACTAAAATTTTATTTAAAACGAGCTTTTGACTACCTCACTGTAGTCTTCGACGGGTAAAGCGAAAAGCTCGTCGTCTAGTTTCAGAAACAACCATATTAAAAGTACAAAACGATATTCTTGTAGCTATTGATAATCGTAAGTGTGTGGTGTTGCTAGTACTAGATATGTCAGCAGCATTCGATACTGTTGATCACGAACTTTTATTACAACGAATGTTCAAAAGATTTGGGATAGATGGATTATAAATCTCTGAATGGCTCAGCTCCACATTACATTCATAATATGCTAAAACCCTACACGCCATCAGCAACTTTACGTTCCTCATTCAAAGGATTGCTTACCATACCCTCAGTAAAACTAGTGAACTATGGTGAACGATCGTTCTCATATGCTGCACCGAAGCTGTGAAGCGAACTGCCAGAGTATGTTAGAAAGAGTGAGACCGTGCCTATTTTTAAAACCAGGTTAAAGACACATCTTTTTAAACAGTATTATGACTAAGTTATTATTTTAACTCTTGTTAAAATAATAACTTAGTCATAGCAATTTTATAGTATTTTATATAATTGTTGTTCAGTTAATATTGTCAAAATACATGACATAAAGTAATTTTATATTCTTAACAAGAAGAGCGTATAATTAATTTTTTAGTAATTTTATAGTATAGTAATTTTAGTAGTTAATGCATGTACTATGTTCTAACACTTAGTATATATTTTAACACTTCACGTTAAGCGCTATAGAGCTATGGGAAATGGCGCTATATAAATGAATAATAATAATAATAATAATAATAATAATAATAATAATAATAATAATAATAATAATAATAATAATAATAATAATAATAATAATAATAATAATAATAATAATAATAATAATAATAATAATAATAATAATAATAATAATAATAATAATAATAATAATAATAATAATAATAATAATAATAATGGAAACTTTAATAATTTTGTTATATACTATATATATACAATTG